TCATTTGGATTATGCCACTCTGTTTTGGTCCCCCTACTACAGGATGGATATAGACTCATTAGAGAACATACAGAGAAGAATGACTAAAATGATTTACTGTGTAAGGAATCTCCCGTATGAAGATAGACTTAAAGCCTTAAATCTCCACTCTCTGGAGAGATGTAGAATGAGGGGGGATATCATTGAAGTGTATAAGTGGATGACAGGCATAAACAAAGGAGATATTAATAAAGTACTGAGGGTGTTGAACCAGGTAAGAACCAGAAATAGTGGATTTAAGTTGGAAAAATTTAGACTTAAAGACATAGGTAAGTACTGGTTTTCTAACAGAGTTGTGGATGCGTGGAACAATCTTCCCAGTAGGGGTGATTGAGGCTAGGACCTTGGGTAGCTTTAAAAAGAGATTGGACAGATATATGAGTTGGAGGGGCTGGGTTTGATTGGTGTCATTGGGTACGAGAGTAAATTCTTGGGTAGCTTTGGGTAGAGGTCGTTTTGATAAGGACCTTCCTTGCATGGGCCAGTAGGCCTTCTGCAGTGTTCCTCCATTCTTATGTTATTAGTGGGAGGGGCTGGGTTTGATTGGTGTCATTGGGTACGGGAGTTAACTCTTGGGTAGCGGTCATTTTGATAAGGACCTGCCTTGTATGGGCCAGTAGGCCTTCTGCAGTGTTCCTCCATTCTTAAATTAGTTAGACAAGAACGGCCTCTCGTGAATCCATGCTGAGTATCATTAATCAGATTATGCTTATCCAGATGGCTTCTTATAGTCTCAGCTATAATTGACTCTAGCAATTTGCCTACAATTGAGGTCAGGCTTATTGGGTGGTAATTTGACAGTAATGACTTGTCCCCTGATTTAAGGTTTAACTCTTAAATTGGCAAAGGGTCTAAAATAAACATGCCTATAGTGACTGCAGTGTAATAAGACAAGAATGAGTGAAATCTGTATATTTAATTAAGATGATGTGAAAGTTTAAAAGGTGATATTGATGATTATTTTTATGGTACTATGATTGCATACTGCATTAAGTTTTGCTAATTTTTTTTATGGATCATGTGTTTTACACCTGTATCTATATTCATATGAAAGATGGATATTAATAAAGAGGATGAGGTCCTGAGGATCTCTTTCCAAGAGAACCCACAATAATTGATTCAAATTAGACAATTTTAGATTTAGAAATGATATAGGAAGGTATTGGTTTGGAAATAGGGTAGTTGATGAATGGAAAAGTCTGCCTAGTAGGGTTATTGAGGCTAAAACCTTGGGTAGTTTCAGATTTAGGTTGGATAAATACACGAGTGAGAGGGGTTGGATTTGAGTGGGACTTGCACATGAGTAAATAAAATTGCCAAATTATATTGGTAGAATTACCGACAATATGTTAAGTAAAGGGACACAAATGTAACTAGTGTGACATTTTGTTGTGGCAATGTTTCGCTCTCCAGGAGCTTTTTCAAGCCTCCTGGAGAGCAAAACTTTACCATAATGGGGTGTCACATTAGTTGCATTTGTGTCCTTTTACTTAACAGAATTATCAAAGCTTATTGCTTGGGTAGCATTGAAAATTGGGTTGGGCAGTTATTCTGTTAGTGGATGGATTGTGACGGACCTGCCTAGTATGGGCCAACAGACCTGCTGCAGTGTTCCTCCTTTCTTATGTTGTGTTCATATACTGTATTTCACTTAGATTTGTTGTTCAGTAATACTAAACAAATGTCAACAAAATAAATGGCATTTACTGGCTCACTCCCACAATGCTCTGCACACATGGATATTTTTTTTTTGCTTTGTACACCTTTGGCACAGATCTGTTTTCTCTGATAGTCATAACCAGGCTATTCAAGATCTTTTGTATTTTGGAGACCCTAGAATGTTGGCATAAATTTGTCAATGGTATTTTTGCATTTGGCATCAATTAATGTCTGGTCAACTGGCAGTTTCTAACTTCCTGTATTTGTTACCTCAGTTCATGGTACAATGAAACCCCAAATTTACTGAACCTTGTAATACATGGTTTTGCTTAAGAGAGGCCCTTATGGGTTTTAACAGTTATGATTATATTAATTAACTTAAGAGAGTCTTGCAAATAATATTGATTAGTCAAGAGTTATTTTTTTTCCAGTGTTTCCTTATCCCTCCCTCAGTGACTTTCTCACGTTCATTTTATTTTATTTTTTTTACCTGGACATTTTCCCTGACAAATGTCTATATTTATCAGAGTAGTGTGATATTTAGTTATGGCTTCTGAAATGTAAATAAGCCTCAAGCTTAGTTTATTATATGAACTATATTTTGCATTAATTTAGAGTTCCAAATTCCAGTGGCCTCAGGAATGTAACCCTTGCAGATTTGGGGATCACCTATACTTTCAGACTGAAAGTACAACAAGCTACTGTGTATGCGAGAGTGAATGTTTCTCTTGTGACACCCTTCCTAGGTAGAAAATGGCCGAGTTAAGGCATATTTTAATTAACCCTTTGACTGTTTTCGACGTATAAATACGTATTATGAGCCAATGTTTCTGATGTATATATACTCGATAATTCTAGCGGCTTCAAATCAAGCGGGAGAAAGCTGGTAGGCCCACATGTGAGAGAATGGGTCTGTGTGGTCAGTGTGCACCACATAAAAAAAATCCTGCAGCACACATTGCGTAATGAGAAAAAAAAACTGATCGTTTTTTTTGGAATAAAACGCCGACTTTGAGGTGTATTTTCATATAGTATTTATCGTTGTATTCGCGATTTCATGGTCTTAGGTGATAAAATGGAAAACATATTACAGAAATAGAGATGATTTTCATTACTTTGACAATGAAAACGACCTTGAAACTGAGCTCAAAGTAGCGGAAATGTTCGATTTTTACCAATGTTCAGGAGTAAATAAATCACACCACACGTCCAATACATGTCAACTGGGGAGTCTAATATTCTTTCACTAGTGCACTGATATTATTTATACCATTTATACAGTAATGCAGTAGTCTGCATAACAGTAAATTTTGTATTTTTTTGTATGAATAAAAAATCAAAATAGAAAGCAATAATAATATAAGAGGGGCCTAGAGATGTGACTAATGAACAGAGCATATGTTATTTTAGTACCACGAATGTATACCTTGTTTATTCTGGACCCTATTTTGAAATTGGCATCTTTTTTAGTTTGTGTGAAATTGGCCAAATTGCCAATTTCTGACCATATTGGGTAGTCCAAATTAGTAAATGGGAGGTTTCTTGTACTCAGCTGATAGATAAAATGGAGTTCTAAAGAAATAGCTATGAGTTTGGTCAACTGGAACAATGGAATTGGCTGAAAATAGGGCTCAAAGTCGGCGAAATCGCCGATACGCATATGTCGCCGAGACCGCTAACTTCGCGGGAGCATAATTCCATGAGTTTTCGACCAAATTTCGAACTTTTGGTGTCATTACCATCGGGAAAAGATTCTCTATCATTTCATAAGAACAAATAATTTTTTTTTTTTTTTTAAAAATTGAGCGACATAGAATGACAGTTTCAGAGAGGGGCCTGAAACAGTCAAAGGGTTAATATCTATATATTGGTAGGTTCTCCTCTCTCTCTTTCTCTCTCTCTCTCTCTGTCTCTCTCTCTCTCTGTCTCTCTCTCTCTCTGTCTCTGTTTCTCTGTCTCTGTCTGTCTCTTTCTGTCTTTCTCTGTCTCTTTCTGTCTGTCTCTTTCTGTCTTTCTGTCTCCGTCTCTTTGTCTCTTTCTGTCTCCGTCTCTTTCTGTCTCCGTCTCTTTCTGTCTGTCTGTCTCTTTGTCTGTCTCTTGTCTCTTTGTCTGTCTCTTTCTGTCTCTGTCTCTGTCTCTCTGTCTCTTTCTGTCTCTGTCTCTTTCTGTCTCTGTCTCTTTCTGTCTCTGTCTCTTTCTGTCTCTGTCTCTTTCTGTCTGTCTCTTTCTGTCTGTCTCTTTCTGTCTGTCTCTTTGTCTGTCTCTTTCTGTCTGTCTCTTTGTCTGTCTCTTTCTGTCCTCTGTTCTCTGTCTCTGTCTCTTTCTGTCTGTCTCTGTCTCTTTCTGTCTCTGTCTCTTTCTGTCTCTGTCTCTTTCTGTCTCTGTCTCTTTCTGTCTCTGTCTCTTTCTGTCTCTGTCTCTTTCTGTCTCTTCTCTTTCTGTCTGTCTCTTTCTGTCTGTCTCTTTCTGTCTGTCTCTTTGTCTGTCTCTTTCTGTCTCTGTCTCTTTCTGTCTGTCTCTGTCTGTGTGTGTGTGTGTGTGTGTGTGTGTGTGTCTCTCTGTCTCTGTCTCTGTCTCTGCCTCTCTACACACACACACACACACACACACACACACACACACACACACACATACATATACACATTCTCACTCTCTCATTCACATTGATACTCACTCATTCTCTCGCACTACAGTGGAACCTCGGCACTCGAACTTAATTGATTCCAGAAGGCTGTTAGAGTGCTGATCTGTCTGAGTACAGAACAAATTTTTCCTAACCCTTTTTTTTTTTTGTTTGGTTGGCTGTTACGACTAACACTCTTAGGCCCCATGGTGACTTATTTATACAAATATAAAAAAAATACCAAAAAATGCGAAGAAACACGAATTAGTTTACAGTGAAGTTCTGGCAAGTTGTGTTCGTTTGGTCAAGTGCTGAGCAGACGGTCGACTACTGTGCAATTTGTTTACTGAACAAAGTGTTCAAATACTGAATTGCTCGAGTACAGAGCTGTTTGAGTACTGAGGTTGCACTGTACTGTACACACTACAGTTTGTGTAGTCAGCTAAATTTGAATTTTATTAAACCTTGTACAGTATTATAAATATTTTATCTTTCATGGAAAGAATTTTTGATAATGGCTGTGTCTGCTAACATTTTTTCATTGGCATTTGTATTTCCCTGCACAGTATAATGTATTTTGGAACTAATTTATTGACTGTGCTAGATTATTTAGCTATTGTATCACTGTATAAATGTTAAAACAATCCTAAGACTAAATGCATGTCTTATTTTTTTCTAGATGAGGAAGTGATCTTACCATGGGAGCATTTCTAGAAAAGCCGAAAACTGATAAACACAATGAGCACGGCGTTGGTAATGGCCTTCAGTATGGGCTGGCCAGCATGCAGGGATGGCGTATTGAAATGGAAGATGCTCATGTTGCTGTAGCAAATTTACCTGGAGTGCTTAAGGTGAGATGGGTGCACATTTGGCCAGTATAATGTATTTCCCATTACAGGTCTCCCTCAACATTTGCGAGGGTTAGGGGATCAAGAATCTCATGAATGTTGAAAAATCGCGTTTGGTGCAAAAATATATTGTAGGGAAATATAATAATAGCATTTACAGTGGACCCCCGCCTTATGAACGCATTGCGTTATGTTAAATCGGCCATACGAAGCATTTGAACGCAAAAATTTTTCCTCGCCTTATGATAAAAAACTCGCCTTACATGATTCGTTTGGGAGGCGTCCCACGTGTGGCCTCAGCGGCAGTATTTACAAGCCAGCCAGTGCGGTCGCATCTACGCATACATTCGGTACATTTCACATTATCCCAGTGTTTTTTGTGCTTGTAACTACAAAATAAGTCACCATGGACCCCAAGAAAGCTTCTAGTGCCTTCCCTGTGGTAAAAAGGGCGAGAATTAGTATGGAATTGAAAAAAGAGATTAAGGAAATGTGTGCAAAGTGGGTTGAACTGCAAACCTTTATGGATGAAAATCACCCTGACACAGCTACTGCAAGCCGTGTTGGCAACCTGTACAATGACAATGTTATGGCCAATTTTAGGAAAGTCTTAAAGGAATGGTAGGTACAGAGCTCTATGGACAGATTTGTTGTGTGACAGAGGTCCAGTGACTCAAGCTGGTCCTAGTGGCATTAAAAGAAGAAGGGAAGTAACCCTGGAAAAGGACTTGCTACCTCAAGTCCTAATTGGAAGAGGATTCCCCTTCTAAACAATAACTTCCACACACTCCCCTCCTCCCATCCCATCAATCATCACCAGATCTTCAATAAAGGTAAGTGTCACGTATTCTATTCTTAGTAGAGTAGTAATTGTGCATGTCTTCTTCAGCTTGTGTGTATTAAAATTAATATTTCATGTGGTAAAAATTTTTTTTTTTTCATTGGGGTGTCAGGAACGGATTAATTTGATTTCCATTATTTCTTATGGGGAAAATTAATTCGGCTAACAATAATTTCGGCTTACGATGAGCTCTCAGGAATGGATTAATATCATAAGGCGGGGGTCCACTTTACTTAGCCTAACAATACTGCTTTCTTAACCTATTGAACCATGAACAATTATAAAACACATGAAAACATCGTAAAATATTGTACATACTAGTGCCAGCCCTTTGGTAAAGAAGGTGAGAAAACTATAGAATTCAAGAAAGAACTCGTAGCAGATTACCAAAGTGGAGGAGGAAGAGAGAGGGGAGAATGTGCCGCCTTCAGTGATTCAATGATTCTACAATATGTAGGACACTAAAGCAGCACGAGTTGATAAAAGCTATAGCGATAAAGTGTAGCATTAACAGTGTAGCAAGTAAGCTGAGCAATTAATCGATAGAAAAAGGACAGTACGAACCTAACTCCTCCAATGTTGCTGTTGTATAGGGCGACTGACAACACTGCCGTCTCTAGTCTCTGCTGCTTCTGCTGCCGCCTCCACCACCACTATGTATGGCTTATGCTCTCAGTGGCCTTTACACACCCAACAACGACAACAACTACAACAACTACAACTACAACAACTACAACTACAACAACTACAACTACAACAACAACAACAACAACTACAACTACAACAACTACAACTACAACTACAACAACTACAACAACTACAACAACAACAACAACTAAACAACTACAACAACAACTACTACTACTACAACAACTACAACAACAACTACAACAACAACTACTACTACTACTACAACTACAACTACTACAACAACTACAACAACTACTACAACTACAACAACTACTACTACTACTACACATGACATAATGACGTACATTATTTATTCTAGAGTATATGTCCTGTTTCTGTTATTAATATTGTTTATTATGTCATACTAGATGAATTGTGATAGATAAATAAGCTGTAGAGTTGATATTAGTGTCATATTGAAGGACTACCTTGTCCTATCTCCAAACAAACTCTGCCACTGCAACAATTCCTAACATATGTAATGACACATTTTAAACATGATTGGGCGGCTGGGAATTCGCGAGTGTTCGAAGCCTGTGAAAGTGGAAAACGCGAATGTTGAGGGAGACCTGTATAATGAATTCAATGATTGGCTCCAAATATTTTTACATACTTGTATATGTGATAATTTAAAAAAGTTTTATAGAAAATTTTGAAGGATTGGTGGAAACATTGCAGTTTAACTCTTTGAGGGGTCCAGACCCCTGATCTGAACATGTCCACAGGGTCCAAGAATTTCTAAAATAAAAAAAAAAATCTTATAAAATGTTAGAGAATCTTTTTCTGAAGGTAATGACACCAAAATTATGAAATTTGATGGAAAACTAACTGAATTGTGTTTTTGCAAAGTTAATGTTCAGCGATGTTTATGCACTGGCAATTTTGCCCAATTTTAGGATAATTTCATTGTTCCAGTTGACCAAACCCTCGCTTATTTCACTAGAATACCTTCCAGTCTATCGATTTTGAGTATAAGAAATTGCCAGTTTAACTATTTCAGCTACCCAATAAAGTGATCAGAAATTGGTAATTTGGTCATTTCACACAAAATTAAAAATTACCAGTTTAAAAATAGGGTCTAGAATAAACATTGTTGACATTCCTGGCACTAAGACATTATTTCCTCTGATCATTAGCTGTGTCTCCAGGCCTCGTCTATATTACACTTGCTTTCTATTTTGAAGTTTTATTCACACAAAAAAAATAGAAGATTTACTGTTATGCAGACTACTGCATTATTGTAATTGTATAAGGTCAGTGCATTCTTGAGTGCATATTAGGCTGACCAGTAGGACACGTATTAGACAAGTGATGTGATTCGTGTCCTCTGGAATATTGGGAAAAAATCAGGTATTTCCGCTACTTTGAGCTCAGTTTCAAGCTACAGTGGACCCTTGATTGTTGGCCGTAATCCGTTCCAGAAGGACGACCTAAAACCAAAATGGCCGAAAATGGAAGTAATATTTCCAATAAGAATTAATGTAAATACAATTAATCCATTCCAGACACCCAAAAATATTAACAAAAAATACATTTCATAAAGATTAACAATAGTTTTACATACACAAAACAATGAGAAAGAAATATGAAGCACTAATTTTACTAATAAATGAACATTACATACCTTTATTGAAGACTCTTGTTGGCATATAGAAGAAGGCAAGGAGGGTTTACTTACCTTCTTTGTGTTTTACTGCCACTAGGACCAGCTTGAGAATCACTGCACCCCTGTTGCACAAAAAAAATGTCCACTCCCTGCCTGCCTGCTACACTCCTGCCTCCCTGCTACACTCCTGCCTCCCTGCTACACTCCCTGAATGCCTGCTACACTCCCTGCCTTCCTGCTACACTCCTTCCCTCTATGCCTGCCTGCTACACTCACTGCATGCCTGCTACACTCCCTGCCTTCCTTCTACACTCCCTGCCTTCCTGCTACACTCCCTGCATGCCTGCTACACTCCCTGCCTTCCTGCTACACTCCCTGCATGCCTGCTACATTCTTTCCCTCTATGCCTGCCTGCTACACTCCTTTCCTCTATGCATGCCTGCTACACTCCTTCCCTCCCTACCTGCTACATTCCTTCTCTCTATGCCTGCCTGCTACACTCCTTCCCTCTATGCCTGCCTGCTACACTCCTTCCCTCCCTACCTGCTACACTCCCTGCATGCCAGCTACACTCCCTGCCTCTATGCCTGCATGCCTTGAATTCTGTCGTGTTTCTCACTTTCTTTACCAAAGAAGCTTTACTAGGAACTTTCTTTGGCCCATGGTGGCTTATTGCACAGTTGCACTCGATCAATAACCACAGAAAACAACGGACTGTAGCGAAATGTTTGGATTGATGAGCAGAAATTTCCTGACTCGCCCAGAGGCACAGCCAGACTGACTCATGAACGTGTGAGCGGCTGGCGGGTGGACAGGTCCAATATGGCCAATAAGCAAAATAACGGCCAATAACCAGAATAAAATTGCGGCCAAAAATCCGGGTGATAACCGAGTGGCCGATTGCCGGAACGGCTGATAACAGAGGGTCCAATGTACTTCCAGTCCTAAAACCAATCGCAATAATCCCTATTTCTGTAATGTACTCTGTCAAATGATACCAAAAATAAAATTACAAAAACCATCTGAAAATACACCAAAGTTGCTATTTTAAACCATACACACCGTCAGTTTTTTTTTTTTTTCCACATCATGCACAGCGTGGGGCAAGATGTATATTGCACACTCGCCACATAGACCCATTCTCTCATATCAAGGCCAAAATTTATTGCTCACTGCTTATCTGAGTGAGTTGAGCTCATTGCATAGTTCTGGTGGTCGCAGCAAGTGTGTTGCCCGGAGAGAGGAAGGAAGGAAAGAAGATGAAGATGATGTCTCCACTTCATCGCCCCATACAAGCAGCATTCATCTCTCTCTCATTTATCCTGAAGGCGTGTCTACAAGTTTCATCATTCAGAGACAGTATCAGCAGGATCCAGGTTGAAATTTGCTGAATTTTGACTCGACTCCACAGCATCCCACCGCTGTCACCAATATCGCAGTTGATTTGGGTGTGTTTGATAGCGGGGATCAATGTTAAGGCTTTTTGGAGGCTTCTTATTTTATTTGGGTTTGTGGTACACCGGCAGTGTGTTTAAGTGCCAAAGCCTGGCAGGGCCATGCGTAGGAGAGAGTGACGGAGTAGACCTTGTTGACTGAGTGAACTCTGCTGCCTGAATGAGGCCGGGTAAGGGTGGTGCTGGCTGAGATGGGTAAGCCTATGCCACTAGGCGTCAGCACCAGCACCAGCAAGGCACGAAATATGAACCCAGCTGGGCCTACAATTCTATGGCACAGACCCTGAGCTCTAAACCATAGTACTACATCACTGACCACAAAAGGGTTCAAGGTTCACTGAAACTGTTATATCTGCTCTCTGCCAGCAAGACATAAACTTGGCATCATACACACAAGGGCTGTTTTAATTTTTTTTTTTTTATTTATTAACACACTGGCCGATTCCCACCAAGGCAGGGTGGCCTGAAAAAGAAAAACTTTCACCATCATTCACTCCATCACTGTCTTGCCAGAAGGGTGCTTTACACTACAGTTTTTAAACTGCAACATTAACACCCCTCCTTCAGAGTGCAGGCACTGTACTTCCCATCTCCAGGACTCAAGTCCAGCCTGCTGGTTTCCCTGAACCCCTTCATAATTGTTACTTTGCTCACACTCCAACAGCACATCAAGTATTAAAAACCATTTGTCTCCATTCACTCTATCAAACATGCTCATGCATGCCTGCTGGAAGTCCAAGCACAAAAAACCTCCTTTAATTATTGGGTTAATAACATGTTACCTTTAAGCATTTGGCATCACAATCTGATTTTCTGCCACTGGCAAGAAATGCCTAATATGCACAAATTCCTAAACTTAAACACTGGAGGTTAACCACATCATTAATGTACAGGAACTGAAAGACTTGTGCTTCCAACAAAATTATTTTTCTCGTGAAATGATAGAGAATTTTTTTCCGAAGGTAATGAAACCAAAAGTTCCAAATTTGATGAAAAACTTATGGAAGTACGCTCTCGTGAAGTTAGCAGTCTCGGCGATATTTACGCATTGGCGATTTCGCCCACTTTGAGCCCTATTTTGGGCCAATTCCTTTGCTCCACTCGACCAGACTCGTAGCTATTTCACTAGAATTCCTTTTATTCTATCAACTGAGTACAAGAAACCGCTCGTTTACCTATTTCAACTACAAGTGATCAGAAATTACTAATTTGGCTAGTTTCACACAAATTTCAAAATAGGTGCAAGAATAAACAATGCAGACATTCCTGGCACTAAAATAACATTTTCTGTGTTCATTAGTCATGTCTCCAGGCCCCTCTTACACTAAGCTTGCTTTTCATTTTGAACTTTTATTCACACAAAAAAATAGATGATTTGCTGTTATTCAGACTACTGCATAATTATAATAATTGTATAAATAATAGAGCATTTGTGAATGCATATTAAACCCACCATTTGACATGTATTAGACGGGTGACATGTTTTATTTACTCTCGAACATAGTCAAAAATCTAACATTTCCACTATTTTGAGCTCAATTTCAAGCTTCTTTTAGTTTGTAAACCATTCAAAATTACCTCTAGTTTTGTAATATATCTTCCATTCTATCAAATGAGACCAAGAAAATGAGACTATGACCATAAATACCATACAAAAATACATGGCAAAGTCGCTGTTTTAAACCAAAAACATGGTTGCAATTTTTTTCTCATTATGCACAGCTTGCTGCATAATGCACATTGACCACACATACCCATTCTGTCATATGTAGGTCTACCAGCTTTCTCCTGCAAGATTTGAAGCCACTAGAATTTTGGCATTATATTATGGGACTGACACTGGCTTCAAAGCCGTAATTTTACAGGACTGACACTGAAGGGGTTAATTTTATGATCTTGTATAGAGTGGAACCTCAGTTTTCGTATGCCCTAGTTTGTATGTATAACTATAGTTATTCTTTATAAAATGTATTTTTTGTTAATATTTCCCATAAGAAATAATGTAAATCCAATTACAGTAATCTATTCCAGATGCCCAAAAATATTAACAAAAAATACATTTTGTAGAGAATAACTATAGTGTTACATACAAACTAGGGCATACGATAACCGAAGTTCCACTGTATTTTGTTTAATTTCAAATATAATAATGTGAAAGTAAATTTTCAGTATTTTACTGATAAGCGTATAAGTTTAATAAAGCACACATGTTGAGATAATATATGAATTTTATTGCAGGATTGGGCATTCTTTGCAGTGTTCGATGGCCATGCTGGTGCCAAGATATCCGCCCATTGTTCTGAACATCTTCTGAACTCAATCACGTCAGGAGAGGAATTTCAGGTAAAAACTACATTTCCTGATACAGTATCCAGAATTGAATGTAACATGAAGGGTCTTCATCAAATACGTACATGGAAAATAAAACAAAATGCAAAGTGAATAGCATAAAGTGAGGGCGGTCATTGAGGTGCTAACAGATCAGGCAAGGGTACTGCTGTAAACTCACTGGCCCATGCTAGGCACAGAAAAGGAGAGGGGACAAAAGCAAAAATTGAGCATTGCATCAGGCTTACTGGCCTATGTTTGGGTTTCAGTGGTGGTCTAGGATTACAAACATTGAATTTAGCAAAGAGGTATGTTTCCCCCCCTTTTTTTTTTTTATTTAGTAGTGTTGGCAAGCACAATGGTCAAGGCTTCAACACGTTGCATTTATTACTGTCATTTCCTTGGAAAATGATTGTAGGTTTGTCCCATACCATGCAATGGGAATGCAGGTTAGGATGTACTACACATGCATTGTTTTGTCAGTTCCTATAGGTATTTAGGTACATAATCTGCACAGTTAAGAGGAGGTGTGGCATTACTAAAAGTATTATTCAGAGGGCTGAGGATGGGTTGTTGAGGTGGGTTGGTCATTTAGAGAGGATGGAGCAAAATAGGATGACTTACAGGATGTAAGGATCTGTAGTGGAGGGAAGGAGGGTTGGGGTTATCCTAAGAAAGGTTGGAGGGAGGCTTTCTGTGCAAGGGGCTTGGACATACAGCAGGCATGTGTGAGTGGAGACAAATGTTTTTTGGGACTTGATGAACTGTTGGAGTGAGTAGGGTAATATTTTGTGAAAGGAATCGGGGAAACCAGTTAGCTGGAGTAGAGTTCTGGAGGTGGAGAGTACAAAGCCTGCACTTTAGAGGAAGGGTTTGGGGTATTTGGTGTTTAGAGTGACATCTAAACTGTCATACTTGTGCACTGTTGCAAAGACAATGATAGTGTGATTGATGGTCTCCCACCCTTCCTTGGTGGGAGACAGCCAGTGTGTTAAAAGAAAATCTACACAACTCTGCTGTTGAATAATAATTTTTCTTAGTGATTTTTTTTTTCTCTCTCCAACAAGTCGGCCATCTCCCACCGAGGCAGGGTGACCCAAAAAAGAAAGAAAATCCCCAAAAAGAAAATACTTTCATCATCATTCAACACTTTCACCACACTCACACATTATCACTGTTTTTGCAGAGGTGCTCAAAATACAACAGTTTAGAAGCATATACGTATAAAGATACACAACATATCCCTCCAAACTGCCAGTATCCCAAACCCCTCCTTTAAAGTGCAGGCATTGTACTTCCCATTTCCAGGACTCAAGTCCGACTATATGAAAATAACCGGTTTCCCTGAATCCCTTCACTAAATATTACCTTGCTCACACTCCAACAGATCGTCAGGTCCCAAGTACCATTCGTCTCCATTCACTCCTATCTAACACGCTCACGCACGCTTGCTGGAAGTCCAAGCCCCTCGCCCACAAAACCTCCTTTATCCCCTCTCTCCAACCCTTTCGAGGACGACCCCTACCCCTCTTTCCATGTCATTCTACTTTGATCCATTCTCTCTAAATGACCAGACCACCTCAACAACCCTTCTTCTGCCCTCTGACTAATACTTTTATTAACTCCACACCTTTTCCTAATTTCCACACTCCGAATTTTCTGCATAATATTTACACCACACATTGCCCTTAGACAGGACATCTCCACTGCCTCCAACCGTCTCCTCGCTGCTGCATTTACCACCCAAGCTTCACATCCATATAAGAGTGTTGGTACTACTATACTTTCATACATTCCCTTCTTTGCCTCCATAGATAACTTTGACTCCACATATACCTCAACGCACCACTCACCTTTTTTCCCTCATCAATTCTATGATTAACCTCATCCTTCATAAATCCATCCACCGACACGTCAACTCCCAAGTACACCTACCATCCGACTTATGACCGAGTTCGGTTTCGAGAAACCGGTCGTAAGTCGAAATGGACGTAAGTCGAACTTTACTACTGAATATCAACATCACATTTTTGTAATGACTTTATTTTATTGTTTTATTTAGGTATTTCATGATTTACTTTATTTTTTATGCTGTTAGTACTGTATTTTATACTGTAAGGTTTAGGATAAACACTGTGTACAACACAAATAGTTGTTTATTTCCCAGAAATTTGGCAAAAAAAAAACACGGTCGTAAGTCGAGTGGTCGTAAGTCGAACAGGTCGTAAGTCGGATGGTAGGTGTATCTGAAAACATTCACTTCTTCCGTACTCCTCCTCCCCAATTTGATATCCAATTTTTCTTTATCTAAATCATTTGATACCCTCATCACCTTACTCTTCTCTATGTTCACTTTCAACTTTCTACCTTTACACACATTCCCAAACTCATCCACTAACCTTAGCAATTTTTCTTTAGAATCTCCCATAAGCACAGTATCATCAGCAAAAGGTAACTGTGTCAATTCCCATTTTGAATTTGATTCCCCATAATTTAATCCCACCCCTCTTCCCAACACCCTAGCATTTACTTCTTTTACAACCCCATCTATAAATATATTAAACAACCATGGTGACATTACACATCCCTGTCTAAGACCTACTTTTACCGGGAAGTAGTCTCCCTCTCTTCTACACACCCTAACCTGAGCCTCACTATCCTCATAAAAACTCTTTACAGCATTTAGTAACTTACCACCTATTCCATATACAGTGGACCCCCGATTAACGATATTTTTTCATTCCAGAAGTATGTTCAGGTGCCAGTACTGACCGAATTTGTTCCCATAAGGAATATTGTGAAGTAGATTAGTCCATTTCAGACCCCCACACATACACGTACAAATGCACTTATATAAATACACTTACATAATTGGTCGCATTGGGAGGTGATCGTTAAGTGGGGGTCCACTGTACTTGCAACATCTGCCACATTGCTCCTCTATCCACTCTATCATATGCCTTTTCTAAATTCTGTTCACATATATGCTTCAATGTAAACACTTGATCTACACATTCCCTACCCACTCTGAAACCTCCTTGCTCATCCGCAATCCTACATTCTGTCATACCTCTAATTCTTTCAATTATAACCCTACCGTACACTTTTCCTGGTATACTCGGTAAACTTATTCCTCTATAATTTTTACAATCTCTTTTGTCCCCTTTCCCTTTATATAAAGGGACTATACATGCTCTCTGCCAATCCCTAGGTACCTTCCCCTCTTTCATACATTTATTAAACAAAAGTACCAACCACTCCAACACTGTATTCCCCCTGCTTTTAACACTTCTGTCATGATCCTATCAGTTCCAGCTGCTTTACCCCCTTTCATTCTACGTAATGCCTCACGTACCTCCGCCCACTTACATTCTGCTCTTCTTCACTCCTAAAAGATGGTATACCTCCCTGACCAATGCATGAAATTACCGCCTCCCTTTCTTCCTCAACATTTACAAGTTCCTCAAAATATTCTCGCCATCTACCTAATACCTCCCTCTCCCCATCTACTAACTCCCCTACTCTGTTTTTAACTGACAAATCCATACTTTCCCTAGGCTTTCTTAACTTGTTTAACTCACTCCAAAAATTTTTCTTATTTTCATTAAAATTTCTTGACAGTGCCTCTCCCACTCTATCATCTGCTCTTCTTTTGCACTCTCTCACCACTCTCTTTACCTTTCTTTTACTCTCCATATACTCTGCTCTTCTTATAACACTTCTGCTTTGTAATTTGTGATTGTTATTATTTATTCTTCTGTAATGTCAGGTAAAATAATAAAATAACTGAAAATGATAAATTGTATGAAAGCTAATAGTGTATGCATTTAGAATAACATAAACTGTACAGCACTTTACAGTTTATGGTATAATAGCTAGGAAAGTAGTATACACTAAATATATATGGTGAAGGTTCAGGTAGGTAGGAAATACGTGAAGTTAATACTGTACCAGGTTTGAAGAGGTTACTAAAAATTGTCACGGTGTACAGTTGTACATTTACACAGTTATGAAATATGTTAAACATTATTTTTAAAAATCTTCATTTTGTATTTGAGGATGTCAGAAATTTGTTTACTGGATTTACTGTTCAAATATGTATTGACTGCTGGATATGAAGAGACAACTGCTTTACAGATTGATAGCTCAGCTGTAAAGTGTCAAGTGGAAATTTTTATTTTGATAAAATTTCCAGGAACTGTGTTTGGAATTAACATAATTAATATTTTACAGCCGTCATCTATAGCAGAGTTTGAAACGGAAAGTGAAGAAAAAACTATAAACAAAATAAAGAAAGGTATCCATGCAGGATTCCTGAGGTTAGACGAGTCCATGCGACAAATGCCTGAGGTCAGTAATTGTACTGTCGTTCATTAATTGTTCCTAAGGAAAAACTGATGCCATAAGCATAACCTTCTAGCTTTGTTTTTATTTGTGCATTTGTGGGGCATTTTCTTTATGTATATTCTCAGTCGTAAGTTGATTATACAAGTTTAGAGGTATAAATTGTTCTTTTTTTTCTCTCTCTCTCTCTCTCTCTCTCCAAAGGCCTATTCACCTCACTTTAGATTCATTGGAAATCCTTGGGAAAGAATCACTTATCTTTACCAATTTTTTTTTTTCCAACAAGTCTGCCGTCTCCCACCGAGGCAGGGTGACCCAAAAAAGAAAGAAAATCCCCAAAAAGAAAATACTTTCATCATCATTCAACACTTTCACCACACTCACACATTATCACTGCTTTTGCAGAGGTGCTCAGAATACAACAGCTTAGAAGCATATACGTATAAAGATACACAACATATCCCTCCAAACTGCCAATATCCCAAACCCCTCCTTTAAAGTGCAGGCATTGTACTTTCCATTTCCAGGACTCTAAGTCCGACTATATGAAAATAACTGGTTTCCCTGAATCCCTTAACTAAATATTACCCTGCTCACACTCCAACAGATCGTCAGGTCCCAAGTATCATTCGCCTCCATTCACTCCTATCTAACACGCTCATGCACGCTTGCTGGAAATCCAAGCCCCTAGCCCACAAAACCTCCTTTACCCCTTCTTTCCAACCCTTTCGAGGACGACCCCTACCCCTCCTTCCTTTCCCTATAGATTTATATGCTTTCCATGTCATTCTACTTTGATCCATTCTCTCTAAATGACCAAACCACCTCAACAACCCCTCTTCTGCCCTCTTGACTAATGCTTTTATTAACTCCACACCTTCTCCTAATTTCCACACTCCGAATTTTCTGCATAATATTTACACCACACATTGCCCTTAGACAGGACATCTCCACTGCCTCCAACCGTCTCCTCGCTGCTGCATTTACCACCCAAGCTTCACATCCATATAAGAGTGTTGGTACTACTATACTTTCATACATTCCCTTCTTTGCCTCCATAGATAACGTTTTTTGACTCCACATATACCTCAACGCACCACTCACCTTTTTTCCCTCATCAATTCTATGATTAACCTCATCCTTCATAAATCCATCCGCCGACACGTCAACTCCCAAGTATCTGAAAACATTCACTTCTTCCATACTCCTCCTCCCCAATTTGATATCCAATTTTTCTTTATCTAAATCATTTGATACCCTCATCACCTTACTCTTTTCTATGTTCACTTTCAACTTTCTACCTTTACACACATTCTCAAACTCATCCACTAACCTTTGCAATTTTTCTTTAGAATCTCCCATAAGCACAGTATCATCAGCAAAAAGTAACTGTGTCAATTCCCATTTTGAATTTGATTCCCCATAATTTAATCCCACCCCTCTCCCAAACACCCTAGCATTTACTTCCTTTACAACCCCTTCTATAAATATATTAAACAACCATGGTGACATTATACATCCCTGTCTAAGACCTACTTTTACTGGGAAGTATTCTCCCTCTCTTCTACACACCCTAACCTGAGCCTCACTATCCTCATAAAAGCTCTTTACAGCATTTAGTAACTTACCACCTATTCCATATACTTGCAACATCTGCCACATTGCTCCTCTTTCCACTCTTATCATATGCCTTTTCTAAATCCATAAATGCAATAAAAACTTCCCTACCTTTATCTAAATACTGTTCACATATATGCTTCAATGTAAACACTTGATCTACACATCCCCTACCCACTCTGAAGCCTCCCTGCTCATCCACAATCCTACATTCTGTCTTGCCTCTAATTCTTTCAATTATAACCCTACCGTATACTTTTCCTGGTATACTCAGTAAACTTATTCCTCTATAATTTTTACAATCTCTTTTGTCCCCTTTCCCTTTATATAAAGGGACTATACATGCTCTCTGCCAATCCCTAGGTACCTTCCCCTCTTTCATACATTTATTAAACGAAAGTACCAACCACTCCAACACTATATCCCCCCCTGCTTTTAACATTTCTGTCATGATCCCATCAGTTCCAGCTGCTTTACTCCCTTTCGTTCTACGTAATGCCTCACGTACCTCCACCACACTTACATTCTGCTCTTCTTCACTCCTGAAAGATGGTATACCTCCCTGGCCAGTGCATGAAATTACCGCCTCCCTTTCTTCCTCAACATTTAAAAGTTCCTCAAAATATTCTCTCCATCTACCTAATACCTCCCTCTCCCCATCTACTAACTCCCCTACTCTGTTTTTAACTGACAAATCCATACTTTCCCTAGGCTTTCTTAACTTGTTTAACTCACTCCAAAATTTTTTCTTATTTTCATTAAAATTTCTTGACAGTGCCTCTCCCACTCTTTCATCTGCTCTCCTTTTGCACTCTCTCACCACTCTCTTCACCTTTCTTTTACTCTCCATATACTCTGCTCTTCTTATAACACTTCTGCTTTGTAAAAACCTCTCGTAAGCTACCTTTTTCTCTTTTATCACACCCTTTACTTCATCATTCCACCAATCACTCCTCTTTCCTCCTGCCCCCACCCTCCTATAACCACAAACTTCTGCCCCACATTCTAATACTGCATTTTTAAAACTATTCCAACCCTCTTCAACCCCCCCACTACTCATCTTTGCACTAGCCCACCGTTCTGCCAATAGTCGCTTATATCTCGCCCGAACTTCCTCCTCCCTTAGTTTATACACTTTCACCTCCCTCTTACTTGTTGTTGCCACCTTCCACTTTTCCCATCTACCTCTTACTCTAACTGTAGCTACAACTAAATAATGATCCGATATATCAGTTGCCCCTCTATAAACATGTACATCCTGGAGCCTACCCATCAACCTTTTATCCACCAATACATAATCTAACAAACTACTTTAATTACGTGCTACATCATTCCTTGTATATTTATTTATCTTCTTTTTCATAAAATATGTTTTACTTATTACCAAATTTCTTTCTACACATAGCTCAATTAAAGGCTCCCCATTTACATTTACCCCTGGCATCCCAAATTTACCTACTACTCCCTCCATAACATTTTTACCCACTTTAGCATTGAAATCCCCAACCACCATTACTCTCACACTTGATTCAAAACTCCCCACGCATTCACTCAACATTTCCCAGAATCTCTCTCCTCCTCTACACTTCTCTCTTCTCCAGGTGCATACACACTTACTATAACCCACTTTTCACATCCAATCTTTATTTTACTCCACATAATCCTTGAATTTATACATTTGTAGTCCCTCTTTTCCTGCCATAGCTTATCCTTCAACATTATTGCTACTCCTTCTTTAGCTCTAACTCTATTTGAAACCCCTGACCTAATCCCATTTATTCCTCTCCATTGAAACTCTCCCACCCCCTTCAGCTTTGTTTCACTTAAAGCCAGGACATCCAGTTTCTTCTCATTCATAACATCCACAATCATCTCTTTCTTATCATTTGCACTACATCCAATATCTTGATTAAATGTTATAATACAACTAGTAAATGCTATGAATCTTAATTATGGCATGTATATCAGTTACTGTATCACTGATGCAGTATAAAAGATAGAGAATATTTCTGTGGTATTTTGCCAGCTTGCAGTCTGGTCAAAAATTATAAAAAAAAGGTAATACAAAAAAGGGTAAAAAAAAAAATTTATAAATGTCAAAGCATAGTCCATAATAGAGATAAATGTGGGCTAGCGAGAGCATAGGTAGTGTGGGGTGGTTGAAGAAGGGTGGGATAGTTTAAAAATGCAGTGTTAGAATGTGGGGCAGAAGTTTGTGGCTATAGGAGGGTGGGTGCAGGAGGAAAGAAGAGTGATTGGTGGAATGATGAGGTAGAGAGTGTAATACAAGAGCAAAATGTCACTTATGAGAGGTTTTTACAAAACAGAAGTGATATGAGAAGGGTGGAGTATATGGAGAGTAAAATAGACTTAAAAAAGTATTTTAACATGAAGTTTACAAGCCTAGCATGATTTCTCTTGAGTAATGTAGGTTTTGTTTGGCATTTTTTTTCCAAAATAAACCTGTCTCATCACAGTTCAACACTTGTTGGGAATAAAACCCTCAGCCTCTTCATAGTCACTAAACTTGCTGATGTATTTCTCTGCAGCATTTTTTCAGAAGTAGCAACCTCCCCATGCCTTGCTACACAGTGTATGGCACTTCTCTTTGGTCTTTGTTTTATAACCACTTTCACTCCTTTTGCGACATCAACCTTTTTAATGGCCTCTTTATTTTTTTAGTATCGTAAAGATTGTAGATTTCGCCATACGGAACTTGGTGGCAAGATCAGACACACAGGCACCGCTTTCACATTTCGCTATGAATTCTTTTTTCATCTCTTTTGTGACTTTCACCAATTTTCTTTTTGGTTGGCTATTATCACTAATCTTCTTAGGCACCATGGTGACTTATACAAATAATGTAAAAAAAAAAAACACCAAAAAATGTGAAGAAACATTGTGTTTTTTGGTCAAGTGCCGAGCAAACGGGTGACTACTGAGCGATTTTTTTTTACCAAACAAAGCATTCGAATACCGAATTGTTCAAGTTGGGAGGTGTTCGAGTACCAGGGTACTACTGTATAAGCAACTATTGGGAGAAAGGCAAGCTAATGAGAGTATAGGTTGTATGGGAGTTGAGAGGGTTGGGATAGTTTTAACCCTTTTGAGAGTCAGTCACGTATATATATGCATAAATTCTAGCGTCTTCAGATCTGGTGGAAGAAAGCTGATAGGCCTACATATGAAAGAATGGGTCTGTGTGGCCAGTGTGTGCAGTATAAAAAAATTCTGAAGTATGCAGTGCATAACAAGAAAAAAAACTCAAGTGTTTTTTGGTTTAAAAAGGCGATTTTGCAGTGTATTTTTGAATGGTATTTATGGTTGTATTCTCGTTTTCTTGGTCTCATTTGATAGAATGCGTACAGAAATAGAGATGATTTTGATTA